AACTAAAAAATCAGAACCATGGTTTGACAAAGATTTACATTGTTTACGCCGTAGACTAATTTCTTTTGGTACAGTCTTTAGTTTTTTCCCTAGAAACCCACAGGTACGTGGCAGGTATTACAGACTACTGAAAAAGTACTCTAAAACTGTAAAATATAAACGAAGGAAATTTAAATCAGATATGTTGAACAAAATAAGTGAAATTCATAAAAATAATCCAAAAGCTTATTGGGATATGCTATCAAAATTAAGAAACGACAGAGACGCTAAAGTTCCTGCTGACTTAATATCCCCAGATACATGGCTAGATCACTTTAATTCATTAAACAAAATTGATAACACTTTTACTGACCGTGTTCAAATTATCAAAAAGCAAGTTGCAGATCTAGAAAAATTTAGGTGCTTTAATGAGTTGGACATGAAGATAATAGAAGTGGAATTATCTAAAGCTATCAAAAAACTTAAAAATAATAAAGCTGTTGGTCTGGACCTTGTCTGTAATGAAATGCTTAAATATGGTCAACATGTTTTTAATCATTGTCTTTTAAAATTATTTAATAACTGCCTTATTTATGGTATATACCCCAATTGTTGGACCAATGGATATATAGTACCTCTTCACAAAGGAGGTGACCCAAGTTACCCTACAAATTATAGAGGAATCACAATAACAAGTGACATAGGTAAATTATTCAACTCCATCTTAAACTCGAGACTGGACAAATTTTTAGAAGAAAACAATATCATTAGCAGATACCAAATTGGTTTTTCTAAAGCATGTAGAACATCTGATCATATATTCATTCTGAAATCTCTTGTTGAGAAATATTGTCATCAAGGAGGAAAGCTATATGCATGTTTTGTTGATTTCCGTAAAGCTTTTGACAGTCTTACATGATGGTGTAAAGTTGAAACTTCTACAAATGGGAGTCGGAAGTAATTTTTACGATTAAATAAAAATTATGTATTCCAAAAGCAGGTCACATATCCAAATAGGAAATTATTTAACAAAACCTTTCTATACTCAACTGGGTGTAAGACAAGGGGACAATCTGAGCTCAAATCTATTTAAAGTATTTATTAATGATCTACCAAATATGCTGTCTAGTACACCGGACCCTGGTACACTTAATAATTTAGAAATACATTGTCTATTGTATGCTGATGATGTTGTTCTGTTATCAACCTCAGCCAATGGTCTTCAACAAAAGCTAAACACATTAGATGAATTTTGCCAAAAATGGTGTTTAAGTGTAAATGTTGATAAAGCAAAAGTCTTAGTTTTTAATAAACCTGGTAAATTGTTGAAGAATAAATTTTTATTGAATAATAGTATACTCGAAAATGTTACTAATTATAAATATCTTGGTGTTTATTTCACTGCATCAGGTACTTTTTGGCAGGCTAAAGATGCATTGTACAAAAAAGGTTTGAAATGTTATTTTAAGTTATGTAAAGATATTTTAGCATTTAATCCTCCTGTTAAAACTAGTCTACATATTTTTGACCATACATTTAAGCCAATACTGTTATATGGCAGCGAAATATGAGGTGTGTTTAGTCCTCATTCATCACGATTCAGAAATGGTATCTCAATGTATATAATTTTTCAGAACATGACACGCTACATTTGAAGTTTTGTAAATTTATACTGGGTGTTCATAAGTGCAAAATTTGCAGTAATGTCAGAACTTGGAAGATTTCCGTATTATATTGATATCATAAAATCAATGTTATTATATTGGCATAGATTGGAAAATTCTGATAACAATTCTCTTCTGTACAATGCTTTTATCAATTCCAAAACACTTAGTACAAGTAGAGACTCCTGGTTCTCTTGTATACTTGAATTTTTGAATATTTTAGAAATATCAAAAAAATGCCTCCTCGTTGAGTCTATCTAAATTCAAAATTGTCATCAATAATCAAATCCGCAAAAAGTTTATTTGCTCTTGGTTCAACTCTAAAGAAAAAAGTTCTTCTGGAAAACTGGATTCTTATGTAAAGCTTAAGAGTAATTTCCAATGTGAAGAATATTTAACATTTCTGAATAACTTTGACTTTAGAAGGGGAATAACTAGATTAAGAATATCTTCTCACAGCCTAAAAATTGAAACTGGTAGATATATTGGACTAGAAAGAGATAAAAGAATATGTGAAAAATGTAATTTGAATGTAGTGGAAAGTGAAATACATTGTACCATAGATTGTCCTTTTTACAAAGAAAAAAGAACCAAACTTATAAATGAAGCACAGAAACATAATAAAAGTTTTAATAGCTTAGATAGTTCTCAAAAATATTTTTGGATCACTACATGTGAAAATATGAATGTTTTACTTCAACTTGGAAACTACCTCTCTAATCATTTAATATGACATTGTAAAGCACAACAACTTGCTATGTATGTATTTTACTTTAACATTTTTTTTTTTAAATTTATCTCCTTATTGATAATGTACTGCCTTTGTCTACTAATGTATCTTTCATGCCTCTCTGGGGGCCCTTGATTGGAAAATATATATTGTCTATATATTGTCTATTGTCTTACTTGTAATTTGACGGCTCATATCGGTCATCGTACAAAACTGAAGTAACTAAGGTAAGCCAAAATGTAAATTTTCACATGTACAAATGACACTTTGAAAATGTACCGTTTGGCATTGGTCCTTGTTATTTTTATGTATTTCAGGTTGTCTTGAAAGCGAGGATGCATATGTGATTGTGTCAGGATCCCTAAGTTCTTCGGATGAGCTTCCACCATTTTACGTAGGAAAAGATGCATCCCAAAATTTAAACGAGAGTTTATATTTAACAACGAATGTTACTTTCCTTCATCGTGGGGGCACGATGAAAGAATTTTTTCCAAACAATTGTAAAGGGCAGGTAACTTATTACTTTCGTGTTCGGATTTCGGATGTTTATTTGTGAATGTCTCTGAAATTTATGCGAGTTTCATTGCCTATATTTCAGGAACTGATCAATTTTGTAGAAGCCAATTTAATGACAACGGAGTTTATTTTGAAAGTTGGTCCCTTGGAGGTGTTAAGAGAAGACCGATTGCAGGATTTGGGGGGGGGGGCATATAAATTGAAATTGAGGAAATGAGGTTAACCTATTAACCTTTCGACATTTTATGAACCAAACTTATGATTCCATACGGTACAAAGATTTGCATTCAGTTAGAGTTCGTGCACGTGTACATGGGGCTTATTTTGTCCATTTTTCGCTATCTTTTCTGGTGTGTTAAAAATATTAATTCATTTACACATAATAAATTTAGGGATAAACTAAAATGTAAAATTATGCTTTATTTATTTTGTTTACTCATACAATGCCACGTAGAAAGGTATTAATTGTTTTATATTGTTACAGGGAGGAAAACGAAGTGCCAGTCGACCCAGAAGGTGGAGTAAACACAAATTTACTTACCAGTCCAATAACAGCGGGAATAGATGAAGGCTGTGAAATAGCCACAAAAATTGTTCAACAGACAGCAAGGTTAGACAATTTTGTTGAAACGTGTAACGTGAGACTTTATTAGCAGCTGAAAAACCGATTTCGTTAAAAATTGTCTACCTTATTAGATAAACAAATGCTCCAAATTGTCTGAAACAAACACATCATGAAATCAAATTTTTAAATTAAATGGCACGAGATGTCCACCCACCTATTGTTTTTAAATTACGTTTAGTAAAAAGTTGTATTTTCATTAGGCTCGAGACAGAGGAACCCTTTGCGCTGTGGGCGCATTTTGTGAACAACATTTTGCAAGGGAGGCCCCTTGATGTTTTCGATGTCTCGGAGGAGGCTGTTGGAGAGACCACCAGTCCCTTCATCAGTCGACACAATCTCTTCAGGGATGCAGCTGAAGAGATTCAGCACGCTTTCAACCTGCGGTACCCATTAGAAATAAACTTCTTCGGGGAGAATGCAGAAGATCTCGGAGGTCAGAGAAAAGAATTTGTTAGGATTCTTTTAAAGGACCTTGGGGATATGATCCTGTCAGAGGATGGAAGTCTGGAGAAAAACGAAGAGGCACTGGCGCCAGCATTTTTTTTATGCTGGACTCTTCATAGGTAAATTCCCTTTCTCAGTGGATTCCAAACGAATGTTTTTTTTATGCTGCCTGTTAGTAGTTATCCCTCTATCAATGTTTTTAGGACTGAGTGCTATCCAGGGAGGGCCATTTTTTTTACCAGTTAATGTCGGTGTTGGGCTTCCCTGAGTCTGAAGAGAAGAGGCAGTTCGTTAGAGGGCTACAGAGAGTTGGTGTAGATCAGGTGAATTTTAAATAATATTTTATTAATTCCTTTAAAAATGCATGTACATCTAAAATATATCATCTCTATCCATTCAAATACATATTTATACGCTGGCCGATATCAGCCTGTACATATCTCGACTGCTTTTGAAATTTGTACATTTGAAATGTACATTGACATGTACATTTGGCACTAACAGTGCACACTTCGTGCTCATGCCTTTTGTCTGTACATGTACAAAATGGCAAAAAGAAATGTCAAAATGTCAAAAAGTGGACGCATAAAACACATACCCTTTTAATTAAAATTCCTGGTCGGCGAAGACCATTAAATATGAATAAAACTGTACAAGGCACCGGGAAGAGTTTTACTGTATAAAAGGCTGACAAATTTAATAAGAAAATGTTATTAACCCTTGCGACCTATAAATCAATCTACATAAAAGAATGAAAAAAATCATCAATTAAAATTGCCTTCCACAATCAGTTCTTTGCACCTCTGTCAAAAGACTGCCCCCCTCCCCCCCCCCCCCCGAAAATGATGATTATATGGATAATGTGGTGTATTCCGGATCTATTGTATCTTTTGTTTGTATATTAGAATGTACTACACATGCGCATTCAATAAAAGTTTGTTCCGTTATGGCTGACCCACGTTAGTGTGATGATTTGAACAACACAACATTTTGGCGACGAGGATGCTGGTTTAGAGTCGGCAAACATACAGACTGATACAAAATGGGTGAAGAAGGAAACGCTCAACAACTGATAGGCTTACAGGTCAGATCAATCGGTAAGATTGGATCATACGACGAATCAATCGAGACATGGGATGTCTACACAGAACGTGTTGATCTTTACTTTAAAGCTAACGGGGTGTCTGAAGACTTATTAGTGCCGTCATTCTTAGCAGTAATAGGACCTAAAACGTACGGGCTACTTAAGAACATTTTTGCACTTACTAAACCTGCAGATCTCACGTACCAACAAATTCTTGGACATTTGAATAGACATCTTTGCCCCAAGCCTTCTGTTATTGCGGAGCGCTCTAGATTTCACAGACGTGAACAACAGTCAAGTGAAACTGTGCTTTCATACGTGGCGGAACTCAGAAAATTGTCAATTCATTGTTAACTTTGAAAACTCTCAATGACACTACAAGAGACCGATTCGTGTGTGGTATTAACAGTGAATCTGTTCAGAAGAAAGTACTTGCTAAACCAGCACTAACCTTGGATACTGCAGTAAAAATTGCACACGCAATGGAGACAGCAGGACGTGATGCAACAGAGCTTCGTGAGCAGAGAAACACCAGTGCTACAGTTCAAAAGGTAAATGGTAGTCAGAAATCAAAACCTCGTTTTTTCTATGAAACCTCAGACACAGAAACATATGCCAGCACCACAACAACGTTCACACAAACCATGTTGGAGATGTGGAGGTAAGCACAGTGTAACAAGCTGTAAACATGTAAACAGTACTTGTCGTTACTGTTCAAAGAAAGGCCACATTGAGAGGGCATGTTTAAAGAAAAAGGACACAGAGAGGACTGAAAAAAAGTGAACTTCTTAAATAGACAATGATGAATATGATGAACATCAGTTTGAACCTGTGTTACATATGCATACTGTTAATAACATGAACAAAGTTGACCCAATTATCCTCCAGCTGATGATCAAAGGACAACAAATTAAGAGCTAGATACTGGATCATCTGTATCTATCATACCTGAGGCCTTTTATAAACAAAATCTCAGTGATGTACCACTTCAGAAGACCAGAATAAAACTCAGAACTTTTACTGGTGAGAATATTAGTCCTCTAGGCACAGTGCATGTACCAGTGACATTGAATCAGCAACAGGGAAACATGGACTTCTGTCCGAAATAGTAGTCAGACAGAATGGACCAGCACTCTTTGGTCGTGATGGACTATCACAGTTTAAAGTGAACTGGCATGAAGTGAAAGTGTTGAAGCTACAATAGACCACACAGAAAACTGACACAATGTTAAAGAACGCAGCTGTGTTAAGGCTGTCCGAAGGCTTAATATGCATTAGATATATACTATTTTATTTTGAGCGATGTTTTGATTTTAATTTGTAATCTATGTATACATACACAGTTAAGTTGTAAAGAGAGTTGAATAAGGTATTATAAAAAACATTTTTGTGATGTCACGACTGTGTTGATGACGTGACGGACACAAATTTTCTTAAATGTTGCACAAAAATCGAATCGGCACAATTGAAAAACAAAATTATTGTGAATGGCTTGTTATATAAATCAATTAAACGTATTCTTGTGTGTATATAAAGTGCTGGGGGCAAGTCTGAATTTTATTTCTTAAGGAAATATTTCACGAGAAATTCAACTTGCCCACATACAAGGGGTCATTTTCCACTCTTCATCGCAATTTATACAAAATGGGAAAAATTACATACGATCCCCCCAGCAAAATTCAGTTAGAAGACATATATTTCTAGTAGATTCACACAGAATCTTATTATTCACTTGTGCCAGTCAAATATATGTAAGATTTATAAATTCTATCTCTATCTTAGGACGTGTGAGGGAGCATTTATAGGTCATAGGAAACGACTCTTAACATTAGGATTTCACTTTTTAAACCTAAAGCTATATATGAAAGAATGTTAAATTACGAGTAGTAATATTTTTTGGCCTTTGTTCTACTGAAAAATAAAGGTGAAAACTTTTCCACTTGTTACTTTTCTTACCCGCTTATCGTTCTTGATTTTGTGGTTTTATGACGTCACAAAAGCCCACTGATGTAAACAGAGCATTAGACTAATGTATTTTCTACCATATTTTTATCTAGTTAATTTAAGCTATTTTTGTAAATATAAATGTGTCTATGTTTTCAGGTGAGTTTTCTGATTTCATAGTTCAGTCAATTCAGTTTGAACGAGTCGTTAATAAGGCACGGCAACTCAAAACGGGGGCTCTTTATCGGAGGATATTCTATATAAAATTACGCTGAAATTAAGCTACAACTTCGATTACTTACTCTGCATCAAACCTTTAGAAACAAAAAAAAAATGTTTCCCTGTTTAATACACATATACGACATTCCAAAAGGATTCCATCGTCATTAAAAAAAGTTAATAAGTCGTTTGTTTTTTATTCCAAGAAAAATTGCATAATGCAACATAAAATAGAATAATTTATTAAAAGTGACCTTTTGTGATATGAATAAAAATTTTGATTAAACCTATGACACTTATATGGGGAATATCCCTAATGTGAATCCCCAAAATAAACACGGGGCTGCCTTTTTTTAAAACGTCGTTTGTACTAACTCCCATATACACAAGTTTACGTATAGTTCTTGCCAGAGTTGTTTTTAACCCATCTGCAGTGTGTTTAAAAACGACACGATTATTTCAAGAACTTTCAATTACAAAAAGAAAGAAATAAGAAATAACAAGGGGGTGTGAGGGGGGGGGGGGGGGCAGAGATCGGGTATTGGTGGTGATGTTGTACATGAGTAAGTGAATATTAAGACAGTGTCAAATGATAAGAATTGTTTTATTTATATAAATTTTATTTATATATACAAGAAATTTTTTTCTTGTTTTTTTTTTAAGACATGTGATACTTAACGCAGCAGGTACGTATCGTTTGTCAAGAAAGGTGTCATACTGACAGTGTTGGACTCTGTGTGAAAGTAAAACTAGGTTGTAAATAAATGATTTCATAAAAACAACTGCCCTGATTATGAAAAATGAATTCATTCTCACTCTCCCTTCTTTCTCTCTGCCGATTGCTTTATTTTTCTCTCAGTAGATCGAAGTGTCAAACGATGAAAATGATCACATTTTGATTGATAAAACATGCAAACATCTTGCAAATATGCAATAGAATTTTTAAAAAGAAATACTTGCTTGTTTGAAGATCGTATATTTATACTAGGTTTTAGCCATGATTATGATATTCTTTAAAATTAAGCTGCAAAATGACATGATAGTTTGTAAACATTGCATAGCTTTGAACAGCGATTGGGCCTTAGTGACGTCATATGCTAAGGGAGATAAGCAACGTTAGTCAAAGTGAATTTTCACAACTGAGTAATTTTGATCGACTGTGCTGTAGCTATCTTGCGTAAAAAATCCAAAAAACAATTTCAGTCTTATTTTACCAGCTCATATGAACTTATTCCCGTATGTTACTCAATATGTTCAGGTAATTGTCTCCTATGACCTTTAACAATCTGTGTTGAACAGCCTTAAAACAACAATCAAAACACATGAATTAAACACCAACGTAAAAAAAAATTCTACACGTGATGTGAAAGTAATGTAAAAGTTATGACACTTTCCCCAAATTTGCAGTGACTTGACGTCGTATGCCATTATGACGTCATATCTAGGTAGTTCAGAGAAGTTACCACGGCTGCTATACTGTGACATTCTTCGGACAGCCTTATCCTAGCCGCGAAAATTCTCGACAGACATCAAGCTGTTTTGGGGTCAGAAAATGGAAAACTGGAAGGAATTAGAGCTACACTGTACCTGGAAGATAATGCTCAACCAAAATTCTGTAAGGCTAGACCCGTGCCTTATTCCCTGAAGCCAAAAGTCGAGGAAGAACTCAAGCGCCTGGAGAAGGAGGGCATCATCAAGTCAGTTATCCACAGTAAATGGGCCTCACCTGTTGTCCCTGTAGTGAAGAAAAATGGTCAAGTACGTCTATGTGGAGACTACAAGGTAACCATAACCCCAGTAATGAAGGTGGACCAGTATCGTTTACCTCGAATTCAGGATATATTTGTTTCACTAGCAGGAGGAAGGAAGTTTTCTAAGATAGACTTGAGACAAGCCTACAACCAGATGGAAGTGGATGAGTCTTCCAGAGAGCTAATGACAATTAATACACACAAGGGCTTATACCAGTACACACGCCTACAGTTTGGTGTAGCTGCTGCCCCATCTATCTGGCAACGTGCAATGGACCAAGTGTTACAGGGGATACCATTCATATCATGTGTCTTAGATGACATGATAATAAGCGGAAAAACAAATGAAGAACACCTTGCAAATCTCGATGCAGTTTTAGAACAATTAGAAAAGTTTGATCTACGAGCTAACCTAGAAAAGTGCGACTTCTTTAAAGCACAAGTGTCATACTGTGGTCATATGATATCAGAGGAGGGACTGAAGAAGTCACCAGACAAGGTCAATGCTGTACTTAATGCACCTGGACCAGAGAACTTACAGCAACTCCGATCATTCCTGGGCTTAGTTAATTACTATCGTTCCTTCTTACCAAACCTGTCAACAGTCCTGTTAACAAGCCCAGTCAGAATTGCGTCGCAAGAGGAAGAAGAAGAAGAAAAGAGGTCAAAAGAGAAAACGTAATGATAATTTCGATTAGTTAGACATGGACTCTGAAACGCCTCTCATGCGTAAACGATTTTCATCGCGACTTAAGGTCGCTAAAATGACGGCCGGTTCATTGCTAGTAACCCCTTTTTTGATCGTATTCGGAATGACTGATGATCTGTGGAATAACGCGCGAAAACACGACGTACTTGATTCCGGGGATGCTAACAAGACGAATGATTGCGACTACTCGAAAATCTTTCCACTGACCAAAACTCTGCATGTGGGTGTTAGTGTTTATAAAGAAACATTGACCATAGACTTTAGACGCTTAGCAAACAACAGACCTACTTTGACGGGAATTCAATTCGATGCTATGCAATGGTATTATCTAAAAAGAACTTTACCATTTATCGACCGAGCTCTCAGCGCCTTAGAATCCAGACGAGATTACTCTTGCAATATAACCACGATCCTACCTCGGTAACGTAAACAACAGCATAGATTCCATACAAGAAGGTCTTCCCAGAGAATTGTTAATATTTCATCTCCCCGTAACTCAAACAGCAGTAACTAGAACATATTATGTGGACTGTTGACCCGTGTCTCAAATATGTGAGACGGGACGCGTGGAATACCATGTCGCGGGAACAGGGGACAACTTGGATTTAACTTGGATTTAAAAAAAAGTTTACATTAAAGGTCAAATCGTAAAGGCAGACGAAACGTCATTAAGTCCCGATGAGAAAGTAGGTCCAGTCAATAATTTTTTTCAGTCTCTTTAATCAGATCGACATCTCGCTTAACGGAAAACAATTTCCCAGCAGTTGGTGGAGCTTTCTACGCTTATAAGGCGTACCTGCAGAACTTGCTGAATTACGGGGAGTAAGCTAAACAGACTCAAATGCAGTGCTGCTTATTTTTCAAAGACGATGCTTCATACATGGATGTCAGTAATCCTAACGGCGCTAATTCTGGACTGTACTCTCATACGGTTTTTACGAAACAGAGTAAACCTTTTGATCTCGAAGGACCTATCTTAGAGGATGTGTGTCGACTAAATCGATTCGTGTTAAACGGAGTCGACGTAAACTTAAAACTCTACAGACAAAACCCTTCCTTTCGTATAATGACTGCCGAAACAAACCCAAAGTATAAAATCGTGTTCGATGATCTCATTTTCCGAGCTTGCAGAGTACAGGTATCACCCGGAGTTATCGTGGGGCATAACAAAGCTTTAGAACACGGCAGTGCTAAATATCCATTCATTCAAACGGATGTAAAAATGGCTTCGCTTCCATAGCTTCTGGACAGACTCGATTTATATGGGACAATATCTATCTCTCCTAGTGTCCTAGTAAAATCGTGTTAGGACCGATATCTACAGAGGCTCAGACAGGGAATTATTTAAAGAATCCTTTTAATTTTCAGACGTTCGGAGCTAGACAAATAGGGTTGTTTGTAAATAATGACAGCGTACCCGGACAACCATATAAAATTGACAACGACTGCTACATATATATGCCTTTAAAAGTTTATTTGATATTGTCGATAAAAACCAGATGGACTCGGGTAACAACATAGATCGAGACGATTGGAAAGAAGGGTATGCTCTTTATGATTTCATCTTACAACCGCAGTACGGAAATGATGATAGTCTTCCTTTAATTAACCAGACCAGTGTCCGACGGGAAATCGCTTTCGCTCAAGCTCTTATGGAAACCGTCGCGTGCATTTTATATGCGGAATTTCCGACCAACTTTGTAATAGACAGTACCAGAAATGTGATTCTTAACCTTAATTTATCCCCATGAATGGACAGACTTTCGCAGATCTCTGTCGCACAGATGCGATATTAGAAGAACAATTCAGAGGCGTATTTTCCGTCGATAATTTACCCTTCCATGTGCCTCGATATCCTAGTGCATACATTGTAAATACAGCGCCCTCTTCAGACAGGGGCGAACACTGGTTAGTGATTTATTTTTCCTCGTCGAGACATTCATTTGTATTTGATGGTTTTAGGAGAAAAGAGACTTTACCTTCTCCGATTCGTTCATTCATTTTTCGTAATAGTGTACCTTGTACTTGTAATACAAAAAGAATACAAGATATTCATAGTCAGACTTGTGGATTGTATACCTTATTATTTTTACTTGTAGTTAGTAGATATTGTCATATATTTAATTTTCAACGGTTCTTTGACATGATACATTGCAGACCGATTTTTATGTATACAAAACTCTTTGTTCTGTATTTAACTTCAAATAATAAAAAAGAGTAATTACAGTGGAAAAACATTTTTTTTTAATTTCATATTCAACATTTCTGCTTTGATTTCCCCATTGGACATCAATGATTATAAAAAAAAAAGTCTATGTAAATTAGTGTCATTGGTCAATAATTTGAATTGACGGAGTACGTCTGAAGCATCCATCTTGTCAAAATATTCCTCCATGAACATGTCTCTCTGTGTGCACCAACTTGTCAGACATCCCGCGTCCGTGTGTTACGGTCTCATCCGAAGGACCGGTCCAATTAAGGAATATTTGGAATAATGCCCTGAGAAATCATAATAACAAATAATAAATACATAGCATAAAATATTCTGAGATATCCGTATCACTATAGTAATTACAATCTGTGGTTCACAGATACACTGCATAAAGAAAGGTAACTCTGTACATGATTTACATACAATCAATGCCCCTTTCAATATTACGCTTTGTAAAACATAAAAACATTTATACAACAAAAACTGATTTATATGCTGCAATAATGTCTACACAGACTTTACTATTTCGGGATTGTTATAAAATATATATATAAAAACATTAATATCATATCAATCTATGGGACTGAGCCTCTCCCATTCATCGTAGTCTATATGGCTCACAGTACATGTATGTCCAGATCATAAAACTACAAATTATCATAGTTAACATAAGTAAACCTATCATCATAAAAATATCTAGTAGACATATATAAATAAAAAAAATACTTTCAATAAAACATTACTCCTTAAATACTCTCTCACAAATCAGATTCTGACTGTGCTAGTGCTATGGAATTAACTTTGGCAAAATTACAGATTTTACAGTTAAATCAAATATTAGAAATCATATTAAAATTAGTATATAAATGTTATCTTACCCTAATAGAGAAAAGTATTCTCTCTGTCAATGTCAAAAAGTCGTAAATACAAAACGTAGTAAATATAATCCTCTCTGGTCAAATACTGGACAAAGAATGACCATAACAAACAACACCTTTTTTGGAGGGAAAAATACTGATCCAATAAAACACAACCTTACAAAGTCCAAACCAATGAAAACAGTGAATACTTCAAACCAAAGACCAGAACCTTCATAACCCAAGGCAATAAACATTAAGTAAAGCTACTGCCTGTTCTACTTGGTGACCTTTAAAGATTTAATAATGCATTTATATTTACAATTTAAAAACATAAAATATATTTCAGATTTATCAAATAAATTAATAAATCTAATACTGTAAAAAATGCACCCAGTCATATTATCCCAGCCCTTTCAAATGTGAAAATTCATTTTCTTCCTCCAACAACAACCATTCACCTACAACCGCTTGATTCAGAAATTATACACAGGTGTAAAATAAACATTACAGAAAACAACAGTTGTCTCACCTGATAACGTTTATCGATCGAAGGGAAACACCGTCCCTATTTTAGACTCTGCTATTTGATACGTGAAAATTGCTTGCGATTCCGTAACCAGTGAGACTATTATAGATTGTTGGACACATAGTTGGTTGATCAATAAACCTGAAGGAATAACATAATCTGCGACAGTACTTAGGGTACTAGCGAACTTGAAAATATGTTACAACGGGTTCAGGAGGATTAGAAATGGACCCAGACATGAGACTTGCTATTCGACAATTCATCGATTCAGATCGTGACGCCAACCCGACCGAAGTTTTAACTGACTCTGAAATTCTGGAGACAGTAAAAAAAAACCTACTTCCGAATCAGAATCTGACGACAGTGACAATGAACCTAAAAATATTTATATACCGTCAATGTCAGAAGCTAAAACTGGTATCGACAACGTTCTTAAGTTGTTGGAGCATGACGAGAGAACGACAGAACAAGAAATTAATAAGTGTTTGAGTACTCAGACATATTTATTTCAAATTCAAAACTCTAGTAAACAAAAAACAATTGGTGACTTTTTCAAAAAGAAATGAAAGTCGCGTTATATTCTTTTGTTTTGTTTGTTAACGTCCCTCTCGAGAATTTTTCACTCATATGGAGAATTTCTTTTGTAGACACACGTAACATTAACAAAATGTGACAAGATAAAATGTGCATATATATTGATTTTGTTTTGATAGTCTACAATTGTAGTTTTTGGAAGAACTCGTTATATTGCCACCCTCGCTTTAATGCCAAAATCTGTCTTGGACAAAAGTTGGCAATATATCGAGGTAGCACTGTACTTACATTTCAACTATTGTGCGCCCTTTAATGATGGCATTGATGTATATGTCTTCTTTGAAGTGTTCATCTGGCATGATTGCAGGCAAAATTGCAGTTGAAGTTTTGTAATTTTTCCCCCCACTCATGATGCAATATATATGGAGAATGTTTTTTTAATCGACTCACGTAGGCGGCCCAAGAAGTGAGCTCCTTTACACGGCAACAAGCAACTGAAAGAGAGATTCATTAAAGAAGACAATGGTAACTCTGTTCTGTATAGGAATGAACAGGATTTGGCCTACAGCCGATATTATTTTTGGTGAATTTTAATTGGTTAATGTACGTATTATTAATCATTGAACTACACTGCAATAATTCGTAGAAAACAAAAATTGTTGGCATTCTTAAATCAAAGAATTACTAGATTTATTTCAAGGTAAGAAGTGTGTGTCTATATCTCATAGAAAATAATCTTAGTCCAGCATAAAGAGGATATGAGTGTATGAACTTAATATTTTTTAGATTAATAGGAATGCCGTGTAGATGTGGAGAATGAGGGTCATTTTTCACGTACGTG